TTGGAACAATCCTATGGGGGTCACAGCCGGTCATTTATACCTCTGCCCACCTCCAAGGCTCTGAGGGCAAGACCAGTTCTCATTGATGGACCCCAGCAAAAAGCTGGCCTTGAATAGACACCAGTTGAACAGAACTTTTAAAAAAATTTTATCAAGGTCACATTGGTTTATAACATTGTGTAAATTTCAGGTGTACATCATTATACTTCATCTTCTGTATACACTGCATTGTGTTCACCACCAACAGTCTAGTTTCCATTTGTCGCCATACATATGTGCCCCTTTAGCTCTTTCACCCTCCTCCCAGTCCCTTCCCCTCTGGTAACCACCAATCTTGAGCACAATTATTGGATAAGCCTTGAAGTCCTTAATAATTTGAGCAAACACACACATTCACAGCATCTCCATAATCTTCTCTCATCCAATGTCTCACATGTCCTAAAACCTACAAGTGACTGGAATGGGACAAGAGGAGCTCATAGCTCTCAGGAATTCACTAGGTTTGGGCCTAGACAGCTCTTGAGTAACAGCGTATCAACAGGACAGAAACCAGACGGGTCATGAACCATGAGACCCTGATCAGCTTAGAGGAAGTGAGGAGAAACGTCAGCCCCATAGCAAGGGAGACAAGCCAGAGCAGAACTGATTAGCAAGCTCTCCATCACCGGGGTGTGGATCAGAGGTAGAGAGACAAGCACATTTAATAAAGAAAAAAAAAAAGAAAGTGAGGCTGGAAAAGAGGGAAGGAGGGAGACATTAACGTACTCGGCACTTCACCTTTTGAAAAATTCTTTGCTGACCCAGAAACCAGGTGAGTCTCTACGAAACCAGGATCAAGACACAAGACAAGGAAAATCACAGCGTCGGAGATGCCACAGGGGGCCTTAGAGGCCATGGTTAGGCATTGCGAAGAATTGGGAAGGGAAAGGTGGTGGAAGTCTGGCAGGCCGGGTCCCAATTCAGACCCACTGCTCATGGCCCCACAGGTTACTTGCCTCCTCTGATCCTGGATGAGGGGATGAGGGCCAGGCTGTCTCTAGGGTCCCTCCATTCTGCCTGTCAATGATTCAATATTGCAATTTCCCAATGACATGTCCAAGGACAACCTGCCAAGCAGGAGAGAAACTACTTCTCCTGGTCTTTTCTCATTTCCAGCCACATCACAAAGAACAAACACCCGGCAGACACACTTACCACGCGAATTTGTCCGAACGAGCCTGCCTTGGCAGGGTCCTGGCAGAGGCTGGGCCCCGATGGGCGGCCTGAATGGAAATACCAATGCCATGTGCAGAAACCAACTCCAAAGGCAACGCAGGGAGAAAAGCGATTCTCCATGAGAGCCCAGCCGGGCAGGACCTCGCACAACCACCTTCCTCCGCCTTCCTCAGCAGTTTTCTGAGCTTGCTTGTTGGGGCAAATCCTAAGATTGTGAGCTGCCCTGGACGCACAATGGGTTACGTAACTCCAGGCCGCCTGGGCACCCTATCGGCTCATCTTGTTAAACCACCCCAAACAGAAAATGACGCACCTAAAATGTGATATCCCTAGGTTGGGGGTGGGGGGAGCAGGCTTTGTGACTGGCATTCGGCTTTGCCTAAAAACTAAAGAGGAACAAAGTCTGCTGTTCATCCCAGTGCTCAGTGGGAGCTGGGGGCGGAGTGTTTCTATCAGAGGCCGGATGCCAAATGGTCCCCCGGGGCAGCACTAGGCAGAGCCCTTGGAGTCCACATACGCATTCTCCAGGTCTCTCCGAGAATGGTTTCCATCCTGTGTCTTCCCCTCAGTGACCCCCTAATGAGACTTTAACCTGAGCACGTTCTGCACCGTCTGGCTGCCCAGCACCCGACACACGTCACACTGCCCGTGTTTACCCTACTGTTAACCGAGCCACTGCCAAACGTGATGGCACTCAGCTCAGCTATCCAACGGCGCTGGCTAAAGATGTTCTAGCAAAGAACCTCCGGTTGCCACGCCCTGTGGGGTTTGAAGTGTCAGCAGTGCATTCTGCCATTTCTTTGCCCTCGGTTGTCACATTCAGAGAAAGTGAAACTGCTTTAATAGCTTGGATATTTCCTGGACTTCATTGACACAGACGCCACTAGAATCCCAGGGGTTAGTTCACATGTTTGGACAAATGTAGACGCAGTTGGGACACTGCCTCCTCCACGAAGCCCTCCTGGTCCTCCCTTGTCCTTTCCCCTCCAAGGCTAGGCCAGGCACCTAGCTTGGCGCTCTCTTGTGTATGAGTGCTCATCACTGAGCTAACCATGGGTGCCGCCAATTTCCACTGGTTCATCTGTCTAACGCACTGGACTGTATTCCCAGGTGGCAGAGAACACGTGCCCTGGGGTCATGACCTGGAGGGAAGTCTCATCCCTCGGAGCTCAGGGATCATAGGCAGGATGTGGAAGCTTTTGTGATTTAGTCTCTTTACCTGTACAAAAGGGGTAACAGTACCCACTTCAGAGGGATGCGGTAATAATTAAATAACACAATTTGTTCACCCAGCAAACGTTTACTAAGCACTAGCCACATGCAATGCTATTTCAGCCCCTGGGATTCAGGGGTGCACACAGTCCTGGCCCTGGGGGAGTTTATATTCTACAGCAAGTTTGGCAGACAAAATACAAACACACAGTATCTCATGGCAAAGTCTGGGGAGGAAGGTAAAGCGGGAAAGGGAGATGGGGAAAGGCAGAGATGGCTCACTCTTTATTAGGGCATCACAGAAGGCCTCTAATGAAATGTCATTTGGAGAAAGTGAAGAGAGAATCACAAGGACACCTGGGGCTAAGGAGATCAATGCAGGCAGCAGCAAGAACAAGGGTCTTGAGGTGGGACATTCCCGGTGTGTCCAAGGATTAGCAAGGAGGCCAGCGTGCCTGGAGAGGAGCAGGCAGAGAGGGACAGGTCAGAGGGACAGGGGAAGTCCTCTCACTTAGACCCTCATAGGCCACAGTCAGATGGGAGCCCACTGGAGGTTTGGGGCAGACGAGTTAAATCATCTGACCTTGTATTTAAAAAGCGACTCTCAAAGCTGGGCGGAGAATGGATTGCACAGAGGCAAGCGGTGAAGCAGGAGGCCCAATCAGGAGGCCTCCGCCGTAATCCGGGCACACGATGAAGATGGCTTAGAGCAGAGTAGCTGCTGCGGAGTTAGCGAGACAGTCAATTCTGGACACACTCTGAAGAAGGAGCCAACAGACTTCCCAGCAAACTGGGATATGAAAGAAATACAGAGGATGCTCCCAGGTTCTTGGCCTGGGCACCTGGAAGGATAGAAGTGCCATTTACAAAGACAGGGACGACCACAAGGAAACCAGGTGGAGGTGGAAACCAGGAGCTCATCTTTGGCCACGTACATTTGAGCTGCCTGTTGGGAAACCAAGTGAAAACGTTTTATTTGGAGTTAGACTGACACATCTGGCCTTCAGAGGAAAAGTCCAGTCTGAGGAATTGGAGATTTTACATCCTGGAGACTGGGTGAAATCACTTAGGGTGTGAGTGTACATGGGAGAGCAAGGGGCTGGAGGGCTGAGCCCCGGGCCCCCCAATGTCCCAGGCTGGGGAGAAGAGGAGGCGCAGCCAGCAAGGTAGGAGGACCAGGAGAGTCAGGACCCGAAGCCAAGGGAGGACCATATTTCCAGGAGACGTGGGTGGACGACAGTGTCAACTCCTGCTGACATGGCAAGAAGACGAAGGCTGAGGATGAATCCCTGGACTGAACAAGGCCACTCGTGCTGGGGGAACAGGGAGGTCACAAACCTGCATGCAGTGGATGCAGAAGAAAACAGGAGAAGAGAAACTGGAGTCAGCAAACATGGAACAGAGTCACAGGGCAGTGGCTGTGGGCAAAGGAGGGCTAAGAAGGATTCTTTTTAAGAAGGGAGAGATCATAGCATGTTTTTGTGCTAAAGAGAAAGATCCACGAGTAAGGGAAACGGATGACATAGTAGAGAGCCGAGAGATGCTAGAACCACGCCCCGCAGGGAGCAGGCAAGCAGGGGTCGGATTCACTGCACCAGTGGAGGGAGGGCCACTCGTGGGGATGGGAGCTCAGCACAAGGCAAGGCACCCAGGCTGGGATCCCGGGCCATCTCTGCGCCCCTCTGTCCTCAGGAAACTCCAGACACACACGAGTCCTCAATGCTTACCTGGTGAGATAGAACAATGAAAAGCTACTGGAGGCCAATTTGCATGTACTAAACTGTCACTGGGCATTCTTTCAAACAAGAGGACAAAAGTAAACACTGCAGATAAAAATAAGCAACAGAGCAAACTTCGATAGACCTGCAACTGGTTTAACGATAACTCTGCTCCCCATGCTGTTCTGCACACCACACCACACCACACCCTTTCCACTCAGAGCCCTCTCCTGTGCTGGCCTCCAGCACTTGTCCCAGTGTTCCCCTGGGGAAAAGAAAACGAGCAAGAGCTTCAGGACACTGTGCTGAACAGCAGATGCTGCCGGTGGACGGGGAGGGGACTACCCTGGGAAGGTGTGACTGACACAGGCACCTGTAAGAACCGACATCTGTGCAAATCTTGACAGTGCACAAAGGGAACTACATGTACCTCCCCATTTTTGCACCCCACAACACCACAGTGTGTTATTTCCATGACACCTATCTTATGTCTGAAGAAACCAAGCCTCAGAGAGAGGGAAGGGGCCAGACCACACTGAGCATCGCCATGGGCCACGCATGCTGCTCGGGGTTCAACATTCCCATCTTCAACCTTCAGGACAATTCTATGAGGCGCTGTCTTCATCTCAGGCAGCTCAGTGACTGACACAAGCCGCAGAATTATTCACCAGCAGAGCCAGCTCTAGGGGGCAGGTCTTACAATCCCAAAGCTCAGACTCTGTACTCTGGTGGTCCCTCCCCATTCCCCACCTACCTCCCCAGATCCACTCCTGTGGCCACACCCCTCCCCAGTCCTCACTGACTGAGGCCTCTCTCCTGCCCTCCCTCCCTCCCTGGCAGGGAAAGGCCCCTTACCGGTGATGGTGCAGGCATCCCGGTACCCTCTGCAGCTGGGAGCATCTTCCACAGCCTCGCTTACATAGTGCTCCTCAGGGATGCCCGGGCCGCAGGCTAGGACTGCATGGCTGCATCCCTCCGAAGGGGGCACGGAGTTGGCCAAAGTGTCGTCGTGCAGAACTGTGGCGTCCAGCTTGGCAGGTTTCACGGGGAGGTGCTCACTGCCATCGGGGGTCCTGCTGCAGGAGTCTGGGACAGTTGGGTGGATGGCCCCTGGTAGGTCTGGCACACCAGCAGGGGCTCCTTACAGGCAATCTACAGGGCAACGCAGAGAGAGGAGCACAGTTACTTAGAGTCTCTGAATACACAGGACAACATCTTTAGAAAATAAGGGCCTCTTCCAAGATGATGAGGGTTCAGATTACAAATTCTGAAAAGCATTTCCTTCAAGCCAAGGTATTTCCCATCAAATTCCTCAGTGTCAATAAAAGAACTGCAGTGAAGTTCCATTCAACTAATCAGGTATCACTATGACCAACGTATGGAGCATATCGCTTTATTTACTAACTGAAACCTGTCTTGAAGCAGCTCTAAGCAAATAAACTGGACCACAGCTAAAATGATGACATCTACCCTGAAATAAGGACATGCAGGACACCTGGCAGCGCCACCGTGGGAGAAGAGCTGTGCATGTGCATTCTGCAGAAGACACATCGATCTATTTCTACAGGATTTACAGACACTTTTGTTTGCATATTGAATTAGGTAAGATGTGACGTTTCTCTCAACCTCTTTCAACCATGATACATTCTCAACTCTTCAGGAGCTTTAACGCATGTCCCTAATAAGGGATTCCTTTTAGAATATGATGAAACTACAGATCTTATTCCAAAAACACACATGCAATTTCAAGAAAATCAGCCCATTCACAGGGGGAACCAAGGACAAGAGGTTAAGACCCTCAGGCCCAGCAGGTCAAGCTCTCTCCAGGAGCCACGCCAGCAACATCAGCCTAACCCAGTAATTCACACCCCCCATTTAAAATCTGCCTGTGACTAAAAGATAACTAACTGCTGGAAAAGGGGTGGTGCAGGACAGCGGCTGCTGAGGACTCCACTTGGCTCCAGCAACAGCCAACCTACAGGCAGGGGACTCCGCACATTTCAGGAGGGCACTACTGCCTTAGAAGTTAGCCCTTAATTCAGCAATGGCCCCTCTCCCCCCAGCCCACCTCCACACACACCAAATGTGTATGCACGTACACATGAACGCACACACCTGGCAAAAACGTCAAACATGAGCTCAATAAACAAGGCAGGAAGCCTGAGAAACATTCTTTAGCACAACAGTTCTCAAAGTGTGGCATGAGAACCCATGGGGTTCCCCGAGACCAGTTTAAAGGGTCCACAAGGTCAAACGATTTTCTGAGCTACTTTCACTCTCATTCCCTCACGGATGTAAAATAGAGTGTTCTAGAGACCACGAGAGGTGTGAGGATGCCCTTGCTTGAAGGCTAATTAATGGAATGCATACTTCTGTATCCTTGAGATTTAAAATTTCGGTTTTGATTTCTCATACAACACATATGAATCAATATAACCCATATAAACAAAAGCTCTTTGGGGTCCTCAATAATTTTAAGGGGTCCTGGAACCAAGAAAGTTTGAGAACTACTGCTCTAGAAAATGATGCATTACAGTTCTTCTAAAAAGAAAGAAAAAAAGGGGCCAGCCTGGTGGCACAGCAGTTAAGTTTGCACATTCTGCTTTGGTGGCCCAGGGTTCACCAGTTTGGATCCCAGGTATGGATGTATGCACTGCTTGTCAAGCCATGCTGTGGCAGGCATCCCACATATAAAGTAGAGGAAGATGGGCATGGATATTAGCTCAGGGCCAATCTTCTTGAGCCAAAAAAAAAAAAAAAAGGACAATTGGCAGCAGACGTTAGCTCAGGGTTAGTCTTCCTCAAAAAAAAAAAAAAGGAAAGTTAGTAGATATTTCAGCCACATGGTACAGTTCTAAAAGAAAACTACAGCCTGGGGTCTGTGACATTTTCCCTCAACAAGAGCTTATTTACCAAAATATACCAAGAGTACCTATTATAAATGAACTCAGCCTAGGTAGGTGACAAACTTCCTGCTCTCATAAAAATGGGGAAATAAGTATAAAAATGGGAAGGGGATCAAGGAGACTATATATTCCTGGTGAAAAGTGAAAGGTAACCAGAGATAAAAGTGGACTGTGGCATCTAGTCAGTGATTCAAATACAGAAAATACAGACAAATGGATAAGCCGCCTGTAAGAAAAAGTCTAGGGGCTGGTCCAGTGGCGCAGCGGTTAAGTTTACGTGTTCTGCTTCTCGGTGGCCTGGGGTTCGCCAGTTCGGATCCTGGGTGCAGACATGGCACCGATTAGCAAAAGCCATGCTGTGGCAGGCGTCCCACATATAAAGTAGAGGAAGATGGGCACGGATGTTAGCTCAGGGCCAGTCTTCCTCAGCAGAAAGAGGAGGATTGGCAGTAGTTAGCTCAGGGCTAATCTTTCTCAAAAAAAAAAAAAAGAAAAGAAAAAGTCTAGACTTCCCAGCAGAACTCCAAAACCATCCTGGGCAAGAGAAGCCCGAGGGGGTGGACCAGAAGACCCCCAGAAGTGAACCAATTAAGCTATTGTTACATACAAAAACAACAGAAAGACACTGTCAGATACTTAAAAACAGTAAAGACCTCCAATAGTCCCGAGGAGTTCCCGGTCTGCTGACCACACCCCACAGATAAATAGATCACTAGTGAACAGATCAACATAAAGAAGTCAAAGGTGAGGAAGACGTGCTAAAGTAAAAGGGGCAGTGAGATTAATACTGTCTACATAATGCACGAGTCACAACCCTGAGGCAAACAGCCCAAAAGAAAAACGGGCAAAGGATATAGAGAACCTTAACAGTGACCCAAAAGATTTATCAGACTGACAAAGATGTAGAGATTATAACAATGTTCAATTTGGCAAGAGTTTTAGGAAACTTAGTCTTATGCATTATGAGGGGCGGGGGATATAAATTTGGAAATACAGCCTGGCAAAACGTATGTGGCTCTTGCGCCCGAGTATGCATGGGCCAAGGTCATATAGGACACTGACATGCTAAGAGCCCTTTCCCACCTAACATGCAACAGAGACGATCGTGTCAATTACAGCGCAGCCACAGAGACGTCAACTACGCAGCTGTGAAAAGCAAGTTTCAGAGCAGGTATGAGTGCATCAACATAGAAAGAGTCCCTAGACAGAGAGACGGCAGATAATGAATGCAGACTTCAAAAGATTGACCCCTCACTCAAAGCTTAGACACATTCTATAGGATCCTTACACAGAAGTTTGAAATACTTTCTCCCTTTACAAAATGCTCTTGTTCTACTGAAAACTAAGAACATTCCATTCAAATCAATGAGTTTTTTTTTAAAAAAACAAAGGGTCTAAAACATAAAGATTTCTTGAAGAGGACTTCAGCCATGGATGATACAACTTTCGCTTTCATCATCTGAGATGAAGATAAGGAAGTTGGCCTAAATCCTGATTGCTAGCCCTGAATCACTCCTGGCCCTCCTCCGGCTACCTCTGCCTCAATTTACGGTTGTCAGACACTCAACCCAGAAACATACTGCTATGAAACAAATAGTTCAAGTAAGTATCAGCACTTTCTAAAGATCCAAATTCGGGAGACATCAGCAAATGCTCACTCAAGCCTCAAAAGGGAACGCAGGCAACCAGTTTGAAGTCCAAAGTACATTTTCTATGCACAGCAACTGGCAAAGCCTTCAAAAGCTCGAGGCCCCTCTTTTTTTTTCAAGTAGAACAGAACTACCTCAATTTACTTTCTCATCTCAAAGCCCAGTGAAAATAATTAAGTGCCCAGGTGCATGCACTCATACGCATGCCACACTTGAGGTACATCACACCCCATGATTTGTGAATTTTAATTCTCACCTTATGAATTTTTTTTGTCAAAGTAGTATTCTTTTTCCTTTTTTTTTTATTGTGGTAAAAAACACATAACATAAAATCTACCATCTTAATTTTTAAGTAGTGGTAAGTACATCACATTGTTGTGCAAGCAATCTCCAGAATTCTTTTTATCTTGCAGAACTGAAACTTTGTCCCCATTAAACAACTCCCCACTCTCCCCTCCTGCCAACCACTGGCAACCACCAGTCCGCTGTCTGTTTCTATGAATTCACTACTCTAAGTGCCTCCTATGAACGGAATCATACTGTATTTGTCTTTTTGTGACTGGCTTATTTCACCCAGCATAGTGTCCTCAAGGTTCCTCCATGTTGTAGCATGTGTCAGAACTTCATTCCTTTTTAAGGCTGACGAACATTCCATTGTACCCAGAGGCCCCTCTGGAAATGAAAAGACCAATCTTCAGTGCATTAAAATCAAGTGGGAAGCAGCCTAAATTTCTATCAACAGAAAAACAGTTATAAATTAGAGCACGCCCAAACCACTAAATTCTATAAAATGAGACAATCCATGTAGGGCCCTTACCGCCATGCCAGGTACATAAGTGGTTCCCAAAGTAAGCATTATCACTGACGTCATAATTTCAGAGTCTCAGAATCAGGCACGTTTTGTGGTTCTACCATAATATTCATATGGCAGCATTTCGAAACCTATTTCACTAGGAAGCCTTGCTCCACATGTCACTTAAGCACATGGCATTTATTTCACAGAGTGCATTTTGGGAAAAGCCTCTCTGTAATTGACATGACTTCCAGGCCTTCATCATCACTTGTCCAGGACTCATCTCTCCCACGAGCTGTGAGCTCCTTGGAATCATGGGCTGGTTCTGGTACCTGTTAGGCCCTAAGTAAATATTTGCAGAATAAACAGTAATGAATGAAACAAGGGGTTTAGTCCAAATGACTCTGAGGACCTTCTGAAGCTGTGAAACTGTGGTTCCACGACCCACAGAGGAACCAAAGGGTCTCAACTCCCAAAGGACACACTGCTAACCTTGAGGACTAACAGAAAGCAAAGGGAAACCTCTGGAAGCACTCCTGACGCGTTCCAGGGATGCAGCCCATGCCCCATGGGCTCCCCACGATTCACCCTCACCTCAGTCTTTCCAATGCAGACCTAGACACGCCAAACCTGACTTCCTGGTGGAACATGTAAGATGACCCACAGGAATCAGGAAGCCTCATTTACAGACCACTCATAGGCTAGCGTGCAAGTCCCTCACCCCGGTGTCTAGCTTGAAGGAGTCACAGCATGTGCCCTCTGGGGAGACCCAGGGCTCGCAGGGGAGGGGTGACAGCTGCAGCC